AGCAACCGGGTGACTGCGGTTTTTTCAATTGGATTGACCCTCCACTTACTGAGTACAAAAAAAACATGTTTTTGCGTTTGAAATCACAAAATAAGTCTTTGGAAGATCAGTTGAGGCATAAGGTTTCACTGGAGAAGAAGCACATTTCGACCAAAACAGTGGAATAAGATGGGATATTTGACCATGCTGATGAGATTGAAAGAAAATTGGATGATGTTGTGGTCGAAATTCAGAAGATCAAAGAAGCCTTGTGGGTTTTGACAAATGGATTAACCCTCATGAAGAAGTTAGAAAGGAAGAATAATTTTGGTTTATTTTTCATGTCATTGATTGTACTAATCTTTGTTGTTAGCTTTTTTGGGAAGAATGGTGATGTTAAAGGCCATAAAATGTTAATTTGAATGTCATTTTGTTGTGGTGTTTAGTCCCATTTTGTAATGTATTCAAGCTACTGAAGTAATGGAATCTGATTTTGTTATAATTTGTTTTGGTTTTGTTTTCATTTGTAGATATTGTTCTAATTTGTTTTAAGCACAATAAGAACATTTCTTCAAACCATTTGTTCATTACAATCAGTATAACATCACCATAACTTAATGACAATCATTAACTCACATTAATAGTGCATTGATCAATGAAAAAAAAAAATTAACATAAAACCATAACAACATTTGTTCAGAACACAACAAATATAACAAACATAGGTAATGATTCACACATTTGGTCAAAAGCATTACACCACATTGTTCTCCCACCAATATCCTCATCACCATTGACATCATGTTTGTTCAAAACACAGTCCATAATTTAAACCACCATAATGTTTGAACAAAAGTCATCCAAACCTAATATCTGAAAAGTTAATCCAAAACACAACAAAATATCTGAAACACCCTTATGCAATTTATCTCTTGCGAGAAACACTTTCTTGAGTTCCTGAAGCTTCTTCCCCTTGCCTCCGGGTCCCAGTCTTCTTCCTTATCTGCATTTTCCCCTTGCCTCTGGAGTTACTAGAACCACCACCTCTCTCAGAAATGACATGACTTCTTTGTGATGACAACTATATTTATGACAAATATAATATAAAGAATGAATCATTTAGAATTTGTAAATAGAAACATGATAGTCTAAAATAAAAAAATAAAAAATATTCAAGTGCCACTGGACAACAAGCTATAATAAATAACATATCAAAAATACAAAAAGATTTAATTTGTATTACCAATGCTCTTTCTTTTACAGTCAAAGATGACTGTTGGCTTGACTGCTTTTTGGAGGAGGATGTTTCTTCAACAGGTGTAGGGGTTGGGGACCACCAATCTTCCTGGGCATCCCCTTTGGATTCTATTAAAAAAATATAAAAACAATAATAGTTATGGTCAGTCCAAATCTCCAAGATTTTCTAAAAATAATAGTTATGGTCAGTCCAAACAATAATAACTAAGATTTTCTAACCTTTGGTTGTTTTTCAACTGCAGGATTAAAACATGATTTTCTA